CACCACCCCCCCCCCCCCCCCCCCCCCAGATGGCACCCAGCACAGGTGGGTGAATCTCAGATGCCTCCAATAAGAAGATGGAGATTGATCCATTTATGAAGACGGATTATGACATAACGGGAGTTAGTCCCAAAGAGCCGACAAACAGAGCCCCGCATGGATACAAAATCTGTACCCACACCTACGAAAGCGACCCGCGGATATCCATGGGCAGGGCTTGCCAAGCCGCAGCGAGCCCCGCTCACCAGCCGCGCGATTCAGCACGCTGCGCATGCGCAGACCACGCTGTGCAAGCGCTGATCACGCTGCGGAGCCACACCTACGAAAGCGACCCGCGGATATCCATGGGCAGGGCTTGCCAAGCCGCAGCGAGCCCCGCTCACCAGCCGCGCGATTCAGCACGCTGCGCATGCGCAGACCACGCTGTGCAAGCGCTGATCACGCTGCGGAGCTGTGCCAGGCTATAATCTACTTGCCTGTGGCGAGTAGATTACCTAAATCAGTGGTCCCCAACCTTTCGTGGCTGTCCAGGAGCGGGGCCGCTCACATGCCAGCCGTCCGGGGGCAGGGCTGCTCAGGCGCTGCACTGGCAGGCCCAGGGATGGGGGCCACCCACGCACCCTGGGCCCAGGGCCAGCACCACGCACGTGCCACGCACAGGGGCGGGGCCAGCCCAGATGTTTCAGCGGGCGCACATAAATGTCCCGGCCGGCACCATGGTGCCCGCAGGCACCGCGTTGGGGACCACTGACCTAAAACGTCAAGCCGTGTCCATGGGTAGAAAGCAAGGATCTGCAAATCAGCAGGGCTCTAGCTACAGAATTCGCATCCACGTCCACAACCACAAAAGCGACCTGCAGCTACCGGGGGACGTCCACAGATTTGCGGGGGTCTGCCTCCTAGCCCCACCCGCACCCCCAGGGCTCTCAGCCCCACAACCCTCCCTCCAACCCAGGCACTCCCCCTCCCAGCCCCACAAGGCCTCACTCACTGCCGCAGCTCCGCCTTGACCGAGCTGGACACGCGAGGGTAGCAGACGCTGAAGAGGCCGCAGGCCGAGGTGCGGGAGGTGAACCAGTCCCCCCCTGCCAGGCGCTTCACCAGGGGCACGAAGTGGCCTTCCAGGTCCGAGGGCGAGTGCTCGTGGGAGATGGCGCGCAGCGACTCCACCGCCTTGTCCCGCACGACCGTCTCCTCCACCGTGGCCAGGCTCTCCAGGGGGGGCTGCGGGGTAGGGAGAGGGAGGCTGGAATGATTCCCCTTCCTGTTTGGGAGGGGGAGAATCCCAGAGCCCTAGCCCCCAGTCCCTCCCACCCCCGGAACTGGGGAGAGAATCCTAGAACACTAGGCTCAGTGTTTCTCAATGGGTGCTCTGCAGAACCCCGGGTTTCCACAAAGCGAAAGTAAGGGTTCCGCGAGAACCCAGCACTCCCCCGCCCCCTTCTTAAAGAGACAGACAACTTGTGGCAGGACTCAGCGTGGGGGATTTTTTGTTTTTGCTCGACAAATCATGGTGGGTCGTATTGGGAGAGAATCCTAGAACACTAGGCTCAGTGTTTCTCAATGGGTGCTCTGCAGAACCCCGGGTTTCCACAAAGCGAAAGTAAGGGTTCCGCGAGAACCCAGCACTCCCCCGCCCCCTTCTTAAAGAGACAGACAACTTGTGGCAGGACTCAGCGTGGGGGATTTTTTGTTTTTGCTCGACAAATCATGGTGGGTCGTATTTTGGCTTGGAACCTTGAAATTCTTACAAGCTAAAAAGGGTTCCGTGGCCAAATAAAATTGGGAAACACTGGACTAGCTCACCCCTGACAGATTCAGAGAAGGGCAACTAAAATGATTAAGGGTTTCGAACGGGTCCCATATGAGGAGAGATTAAAAAGACTGGGATTTTTCAGCTTGGAAAAGGGGAGACTAAGGGGGACAGGACAGAGGTCTATAAAATCATGAGTGGGGTGGAGAAAGTGAATAAGGAAACGTTATTTACCTGTTCCCGTCATAGAAAAACTAGGGGCCACCAAATGAAACTAATGGGCAGCATATTTCAAACAAATAAAAAGAAGTTTTATTTGAGCATCGTTAATCTGCGGAACTCCTTGCCTGAGGAGGTTGTGAAGGCTATGACTATCCCAGGGTTTAAGAGAGAACTAGATAAATTCATGGAGGTTAGGTCCATAAATGGCTATTAACCAGTCTGGGGAAGAAACCGTGTCCCTGGCCACTGTTTGTCAGAGGATGGAGATGGATGGCAGGAGAGAGATGGCTTGATCATTACCTGTTCGATCCACTCCGTCTGGGACACCTGTCATTGGCCACTGTGGGCAGACAGGGTACTGGGCTGGATTGACCTTTGGTCTGACCCAGCCTGACCGTTCTTATCTAACCTGCTCTTAAATATCTCCAGGGATGGAGATCCCAACCGCCCCCCTCTCCCCCCCAGACAACTTATTCCAGTGTTTAACCACCCAACTGGCAGGAAGCTTTTCCTAATGTCCAACCTCAAGCTCCCTTGCTGCAGTTTAAGCCCATTGCTTCTTATCCTGGTTTTTCTTGTCCACCCAGGTGTCCTGACCCCCAGTCCCCTATAACGAGGCCCCATGCCCTAGGGGGCAGGGATCTGACCTACCAGTAGGCAATGCACATATTCGGGCCCCCCGACCAGAGTGGTGAAGGTCCCCAGCTGTTCAGCCAAAGCCAGCAGCACCTCGTCCTCATCGTAAATCGTATCTGCAAGAGACGTGGCGAGTGAGCAGGGAGAGGAAGGGGCAACAGACGCCCTGGAAAGGGGCCGGGCCAGACGCCTGGGTTAGAGGGGAACCGAGAGCTGGCAGGTGCCTCCGGACTCACCAGCGCAGGGATCACCAGTAGCATTCCAGAGCCTGCTCTTGTCCTGACGGGGGCAGAGTCCCACCTCCTGCCCCGCCCATAGCCCTGCTCTCCGCCACCAATACTGGCTATTGTTATGCTCTTTTTAAGCAGCACAGATCAGCTGTGCTTTACTGAAGGGCAAAGTGAAGGGGGAACCCAGAAGTCCCGGATCCCAGAGCCCCCTGATCCAACCTACTTGCCCGACTGCCCTCCCAGCCCCGAGGGGAGAACCCAGGAGTCTGGGAGCCCTCTGGCTACCTGTGAGGAAAGGCAGGAGCTCGCTCCGGGTCCTCTCCACGCCGAGGGCCAAGGCGATGGTCGAGAGTTTCTTGATGCTGTTGAGACGTAGCTGTGGAGAGGGGAGAGTGGGTGAGACCCAGGCGACCGGCGCGGATGGGGAAGGGGGCGCTAGGCTAAAACCTAAGTCAGACCCCAGAACACGGCGATTTCAACCAATATTTAAATCCCCAAGCAGGAAGCCTCCATTTCAACCACCAAATTAAAGCAACTTTCCACATGGACTGCTGGCACTTTCTAAAGAAAGGTGCCTTCTCGCTGGGCCATTAAAACACAGATTGCAGCTTAATGGATCTTTTTGCTGCTTCAGAGGGGACGTCAGCCATATACACGGATTTCAGCAACTCCAGAGCACAGTATTTTCAGAAACTTATTAATTGCACATGCAATGTGTTAGAAAAGGTGACTGAGCAAGGCACATTCACCAGCTAAGCCACTTCTGGCCGCATCAGGATGGTGCCTGGAATTTAATTACTCACACAAAACAGCATGTGCATTTGTATTAAATAATCCCTCACACAGAAGTGCAAGTTCTCCGTCCCCGCAGCAGCCAGTCCTTAATACAGTACGTGACCTACTGAGGCATATTTCCAGAGCTTAACCTCAGACGTTAGATTTTTTTCCTCCTGATTTTTTTTTCTTTGCAGGGACAAGCAGCCTCTTAGTCAAAGTTTGAAATAGAACACAAAAGCTGAATGTCAAAGTTTTCAGAAACTCCTAAGTGCAGGCCTGAACACACCGTATTCAACTCAGCTTTCCTTTTAAACAGGCTATTTAAAAAGCACTTGGGAACCCAACCACTCAACCTGTAAGAAGCCTCCAATTACTCTTCTGGACAAATGTTTCCCCCTTGTCTCCCTTTGCTTCCCTTATCAATTTCCTACAGTTCACTTTTCATCCTCCAACGTGTAATTTTCATTTTTGATAGCTGCCTTCATTTTCCTTTTACACCACATGAGGTTTGATGTGTTTAAATAAATACGGCCTTCTTCCTTGATTGGGACTGCTGAGGCATCAAAGGGTTCTTAAACAGTGCCCAATTATCAGTTACATTTCCCGATTTAATCCCCCTCCCCCCCAGTTGATTTGGCTTGTTATTGTTTTCAGCTTTGTGAAACTGGCTCTCAAAGCACCAAGTAAAACACGTCTCTCAGTGACGTGGGTTTTATTCTGTCTGTAGACTATAAATGTGGCCAAGTCACGATCACCAGCACTTACGTTACAAATAGTTTTCAGGTCTGTGATCAGTTCCCCTTGAACGAGAAGGGCTAATACAGAATCCCCCCACGTTCGATGCAACCCGTTTTGAGTTAGAAAGCTGCCTCTAGCACTTCAATTCCAGCGATGCTTTAGACCCAGCAGCCTGAATGACGCAGCGTATAATCGAACTGAAGCCCCCATGGGAAAGCAATGTCTTTTCCCCTGCACATTCCAGACTCTGTTCTCCAGTGTGGTCTGGTGGCCAACAGCCAACCTCAACTACTTTCCTATCTTGCACTGCCTCTGCTGATCCATTCAAGAGCTTTTTCTTACAGTGACTCTGAACAGGCAATGGCATTTCTGAGTGCGCCCTGCCCTTCTGATCCTTCCTAAATCATTTATAAATGAGGTTTTCAGCCTCTTTCATTCGCAGACCCCTAAACAATTTCACACGGAGGTGAAAAATCTGAGCTGTTGTCTGGGGGACCTCATGGACCTGTGGAGCACAAGCTGGAAACCGTCATTCTGTGGTAACCACCACTTTCTGCAGATCTTTCATACAGTGTGGGGACTCCAGCAGCGCAAGGGCCTCAGGCTGAGAAATACTGGGTTGTGACATTCCAGGTGTGCAACTCATCCCAGGGGGTTTCAGTAATCGAGTGTATGCTCAGAAACGCGTCATTCCAGCTCCCTTGGTTTGTAACCCGAGCACCTGGAGTCAGAGCAACGACAAGTCAAGAATTTCTTCGCTTCACATCCTTTCGTTCCTCGATTTTGTTCTCAGCATCTCAAGTCTGGGCTCAGTGCCTGTATCTTCCCTCTTTCTATCCGCCCCTTTCCTTGTTAATTTAACGCCCTCCTGCCTACTCCAGAGAAGGTTGGGCTCTCTTCCAAGCTATGCAGCCAACAAGCCCATAGACAGTGGACAAATGTTTGCATTCAGAAGGGAAAAGAACTGGAGTCCTCTGCTCTAATGCCCAACACCCTACCCCCCTCCCAAAGCTGTAGCTAGAACCCAGGAGTCCCAGCTCCCAGTTTGTCCTAATCTACCATCTAGACCCACACAACCAATGATCCCTTAGAGGGAAAAAAATGGTGCACATGACAAAATGTATTCTGCACAAGGCATGTGCAGATATGCACCACCAGTAGAAACACACGCTGTCGGCTGTGGGCGCTCTGCTACTCAGCTGCATGGCATCTGAATCTGTTCTTGAGCTTACAGGGAATACTGTTCACAACCTTTCCCAGCATTGGGAAGGGAACCCAGGAATCCTGCACTTTGGGTCTCCTTCTTCTCTAACCAATAAATCATACTCCCCATCCCAATCCTACATGCAGCCCAGAGGCCTTCCCCATTGCAGGGTGTACTCCCACTCCCTTTCACTATGTCACCACCGGGGCATCCTGTCTGGCCAGTTCTGATCTTCCTGACACACCCACCCTGGGAGCGACTCCCTGGAGATAGCCAGGGAGAGAAGGGATTGGGAGAAGACAGACTGCTCACCCCTAGGTATGTGCTTAAACCCTCAATGAGGTCCTAAAAAGTCATATGTGGATCTAACACCCTCCCCCTTTAGCTCCACTCACCCAACAGGCAACCCCCTTCCCTACTGGGAAACTTCTGCTCTGCTCCCATGTCCTCCATCTCCCACCACCCTCAGCCTCAGCTCACAAACTACCTGATCCCACAGGCACCCCCTGCAACAAGCCCCTAGTCTGGAACCCAAGCCCCCTCTCCCCCAAACAGGAAGTGACCAGAGGACTGTGCCCTCTCCATATGTACCATGGTTATAAAGCAGAAACTTTTCCAATCAGGCAGCTACTTACGGGCTAGTCCCAGGACAGGTTCCCGCGGGGGAAGTGCCCTCATCACACCAAAGCCTTCCCCAGCCAACCCCCTGCAACAAGCCCCTAGTCTGGAACCCAAGCCCCCTCTCCCCCAAACAGGAAGTGACCAGAGGACTGTGCCCTCTCCATATGTACCATGGTTATAAAGCAGAAACTTTTCCAATCAGGCAGCTACTTACGGGCTAGTCCCAGGACAGGTTCCCGCGGGGGAAGTGCCCTCATCACACCAAAGCCTTCCCCAGCCAA